CAGATTCTACACACATGCTGGTCCGTCATGGTTTGACAGCAAAAATTGTTGCAAAATGGATAGATCTGCGATCTGCTCATCGCCGACTCCATAAGTGAAACTCGGTGCACAAAAAACACAAACACACCAAGAGCTATGTCGTCAAGGAGGACAGGAAAATGTGTGTGTGTGTGTGTGTGTGTCTGAGTGTGTGTGTGTGTGTGTGTGTGTGTGTGTGTGTGTGTGTGTGTGAGAGAGAGAGAGAGAGAGAGAGAGAGATAGAGAGAGAGAGAGAGAAGGTGGGAGAGTGGGAGAGAAAAAAAGAGAGAGAGAGGATGATAGAGACAGGGAGAGTTGGAGAGAAAAAAAAAGAGAGAGAAAGAAAGAGGGAGATAGAGAGAGAGCGAGAGAGACAGGCAGAGAGAAAGGATGTGTTGTGTATGTGAGAAGGAAGAGGGCAGGACACTGACTGAGAGTGTGTGGGGGTGGGGGGTGGGGGAGAGGGGATGGAGCGGACAGACTTTAAATGGTTCTCCGCCAGAAAAATCCCTGCCCACTAGTCCAAGGTTTCAGGTCAACATTGCAATGAACTCCCGGACTTCCGGGTCAACGACCTGTCCTGTTTTCGTCATCACCCGAGGAAAGCATGTAAACATTTTTAGCAATAGTTTTACGGCACTTGCAATTCAATAAGGCCATATACGTGCCGAAGAGGAGGTGTTACAAGAGAGTAACACACACAAAATAGAAGGAGTGGAGAGATCGGGACAACAGACAGGAAAGAAGAAGCAAACCATACATAATGATACAGGAGCACCTGTCAACCCTTAACCACTTACTACATTAATTTTTCTTCTTAAAAAAATTAATAAAAGAATAAAATAAAGCAACACACACACACACACACACACACACACACACACACACACACACACACACACACCAAAGTTACAGCCGTAACAGCCCCAGTTTTGTAGCTTACAGAATAGCGTTCTCCACTCCCAAGTCCTAGCCCCATCACCCCATCAGAGAGGTCAGAGGCTGGGAATTCCGTGCGTACGTTTTAGACTCGTTGAGATGAAAGGGCTAGTGAGTGCAGGCGTTCCCATTAAGTTAGGTCAGGTCAGCTTTAAAACGGACATCATGTTTGGGCAATGTAAAAAAGACTTATTTACGTACAAACGACACGTTGTTATTTCTTAGGTTCAGTGAGAGTGTTACGGCACTTGCAACACAAATAGGTCCATATATGTACCAAGGATTAGTTGGGTTTTTTTAGTTTAGTAAAGAGTTTTACGGCACTTGCAACGCAATAAGGTCATATAAGTGCCGAAGATTAGAGGTGTTACAAGAGAGTAACAACAAACGTAAAAAAATGAGGAGAGATAAGGACGATAGATGTTTAAGAGGAAAGAAGGAGCAAACCACACCAGAGCACCCGCCAACCACCCACTTACCAAGGATTAGAGGTGTCATTAGATAGTAGCATACAGAGAAAAGAAGAAGGAAAGATAAGAACGGTAGATGCTTGATAAGAGAGAAGGAGCAAACCAAGCCAAAGCACCCGCCAACCGCCCATTTTCATTTTTTTAAAACTACTTCCACGCGCACGCAAGTTCAAGGATCGCTAGGGGGCTATTTGAACAGGGACCATGAAGGTCTAGTTCAGCTTTGAGTTTGAGTATTACGGCACTTTTAAACACATAAGTGCTGTAGGTCAAGTGCAGTAGGCCTATTAGAGAGATACATACAAAGAAAAGAAGGAGGAGAGATAAAGACAACAAATGTTTGTTAGGAAAGAAGAAGCAACCCACATAAGAGGTTCCACCAACCATCCACTGGCGTCAATTGCTAAAGACGTTTTTAACTGTAGAACAATTCGTTTGTGTGTGTGTGTGTGTGTGTGTGTGTGTGTGTGTGTGTGTGTGTGTGTGT